CTCCGCACTAGGCACAGGAAAGTGGCCGTCTAGGGCAGGAGAGCTGCCAGCCTGGCCACCCAGGAGCAGGTGTGCATGAAAATCAAGGGGGTCCACTGAGACCCCCGACCCTGAGCCCTGAGCTTACAATGGCCGTCCTGGGTCAGACCAAAGGTCCATCTAGCCCATAGCCTGTCTGCCGACAGCGGCCAACCCTATGGACCCTGGAGGGGATGGACCGAAGACAGTGACCAAGCCATTTGTCTCGTGCCATCCCTCTCCAGCCTTCCACAAACTTTGGGCAGGGACACCACTCCTACCCCCTGGCTAAGACTACTCCATGGACCCAACCTCCATGACTTGATCTCACTTCCCTTTAAACTCTGTTCTAGTTGTAGCCTTCACAGCCTCCTGCAGCAAGGAGTTCCGCAGGTTAACTATTTGCTTTGTCAAGAACAACAACTTTCTCTTACTAGTTTCAAGCCTGCTACCCATTCCTTTCCTTTGGTGTCCTCTAGTCCTTCTTTATGGGAACTCAGGAAGAACTTTTCTGAATGCACCCTCTCCACCCAACCCCTGCTTTTAGAGACCTCTATCCTGTCCCCCCTCCGTCTCCTCTTTTCTAAGCTGAACAGTCCCAGTCTCTGTAGCCTTTCTTCATCTGGGACCTGTTCCCAACCCCTGATCATGTTAGTTGCCCTCTCTTCTCCCAGCCTTTCTCTTCCCCTCTCCCACCTCCTTTTCCCAGTCTCCCCCAGTTTTGTTCAATAAAGACAGAGTCAATGTTGGAAGAAACGTTATCTTTATTTTGTACATCAATAAGAAGGGGGGCTAGGGAAGGGTAAGTGGAAGGAGGTGAGGGAGGAATGGGGTACGAGCCCCCGATGGGGAGGACTGGGCTGGCTCTGCGGGCTTCTGGGGGTGGAAGCTCTCCTGCAGCCCCCCAATTACTCCCTCTCCCCAGATGGCAGCCTGCGGCAAGTGCAGCCGGGCTGATGGCCGAGTGGTGTGATGTGCCCAGTGTGGGCACTCCGGGCAATCCAAGCCAGGACTGCTTTGCAAGCGGGGCACCCCTTAGAACTGTGTGTCCGGGGTGGGGGTCGGGACCCTTTAAGCGCAGCCCTCGGCTAGCCTGAGACAGCATCTCCACGCTCTAAGTCCTCCTCTGATGCCCTGCCGGCACTGCTTCCGGCCATCCTTAAGCCCTGTTCAGGGTCCACTCAATGTGGACTTGCTAGTTCGAATTAGCAAAACGCTAATTCGAACTAGTTTTTAGTTCTAGACGCGTTAGTTCGAATTAGCTTAGTTCGAATTAACTAATTCGAACTAAGTTAGTTCGAATTAACGTTGTAGTGTAGACGTACCCTTGGAGACCAGGCCTTAGGGTGCTGGGCCCTGCACAAGCACAGAACAGAGACTCTCCTTATTCCAAGGAGTTGGGGTGCTGTCGCAGCCGCAGGGGCGTCAGTCCAGGTGTGTCTGGGTTTGATGTGAGAGGGGTTTCCTTGTCAGTTTGAGGCACTTCCTCCCTAGCTTGAGTTGAATGGGCTGTTGCTGCCAGATGTTTCCAATGGGTGCCTACTCAGAGCTTTGTGGCTCTGAAGCACCACAGAGCTTTTCCCTGTAGAGCTGGTTTGGGACATTTTGGGAAGGTCGTGGTCTATTTCTCCTGCAGAGCCTGGGCATGCTGGAAAGTGCAGGAGTCCCTGCCAACCCCTTGTGACTGAGGGAAGCACTGGCTCTCTGCCCCATGGGTGAGTCTTACTCTCTGGTAGGATTGGGCTAGCCAGTAATCGGCACTTCCCTGGCTTGCACTGTTGCACAAAGCTGGTTCTCATGGCACAAGATGAGCTGTTTCCCACTAGTCCTGATGTTGCACGGAGCTGGTTTGGTTCATCTCTGGAACTGGCAGGGAATTTTTCTACCTATGTTAGTGGGCTGATCATTTGTATCTGAATTGACCCTCCTGTGTTTCCAGGGGTGTGTCCTGGCTGTCCTGTCCAGACCAGCCAAGAGTGGGAGATGAACGCTATGCTGGGCAGGTATTTACCTGGATCCTGTCCACTCCATTCTCAATCCCAACAGCAGATGGAGCGAGGGGAAGAGCTGCAAGTCCCAGGTCTCAGCAAAGGTGAGGATGATGAAAGCCAAACAGGCTTCCAAATAGGTGAGGGATAAATAAGTCCAGTTGAGAGGGCTTGGCACAGCTGAAACCATCTAAAGCCACCTGTGAGCCCTCCTGGCCTTGCGCTTCTCAGGGATTGTCAGCACCTTTTCCCTGGTGTGTGTACACCACTGTATCTATTGCACCACCAGTTCCCTTTGCTTTAGCACTCACGCAGCGCTGGGAGAAGGCAGCAGCAGTTCTGACCCAGATCTTGGCTCTCACTGAGAAAGCAAATGTTTTCTAGCCCACTCACAGGCAAAGAAAGCTCATGAATGTGAGCTGGGTGGTGCCGACGCCTTCCTGAGTCTGCAGCAGCCTGAAAAAGCTGCAAGCGATGTGACTGCCTCCTACAATCCCAGCTCCAGGAAGGGGTGGAGCCACATGGGTGGTGCTTCAGGCTGTCTGCCGTGGGGGGGCGCTAGTCTTAGACAGCCTCCTGTGGAACAGCGCATCCCTCATTGCCCATTTGTTCCTGCAGGTGAGAGGCTGGCAAGCATGGCTGGGCCAGAGGATGCTGCACCAATAAGAGGTGGCACTAAAACTGGTGTGGAGCTGGCCGGGGGAGCATGGCACAAAGACCCTACCATGGGCGCAGAGGAGGCTGCACCAGGAGGCAGTGCCAGAGAGGAGGAGGCTGTGCCAGGGTGCAGCACTGATGCAGAGCTGGCACAGTGCACAGACCCCACAGTCAGGTGGCCCTTTAAATGCAGTGAGTGTGGGAAGAGCTTCCGGCAGAGTGCCACGCTGACAAGGCACCAGCTCCTGCACGCGGGTGAGCGGCCCTATGTCTGCACCACTTGCAGCAAAGGCTTTTGTGACCATGCGGCACTGGTCACGCATCAACGGGCACACACGGGTGAGCGCCCCTTCCCCTGCCTGGCATGTGGCAAAGCCTTTGCTGGCAGCTCAGCACTGCTGGTGCATCAGCGAGGCAGAGTGCCACGCTGACAAGGCACCAGCTCCTGCACGCGGGTGAGCGGCCCTATGTCTGCACCACTTGCAGCAAAGGCTTTTGTGACCATGCGGCACTGGTCACGCATCAACGGGCACACACGGGTGAGCGCCCCTTCCCCTGCCTGGCATGTGGCAAAGCCTTTGCTGGCAGCTCAGCACTGCTGGTGCATCAGCGAGTGCACAGTGGTGAGCGTCCCTACCGCTGCGGGGAGTGCGGGCAGAGCTTCCGGCAGAGCGCCCACCTAGTGCAGCACCAGCAGGGGGCCCATGCCAATCGGCGCCCCCATGCCTGTGCTCACTGTGGCAAGAGTTTTGGGCTGCGCTCCACGCTGGCACGGCACCTGCAGACCCACAGTGCTGAACGCCCCCACTCCTGCCCCGACTGCCCCCGTTGCTTCCGCCAGCGAGCACACCTGCTCCGGCACCAGCTAGTGCACACAGGTGAACGTCCCTTCCCCTGCCCGGTGTGCGGCAAAGCCTTTGCCCTGAGTGCCACACTGCTGCGGCACCAGCTAGTGCATACTGGTGAGCGCCCCCACCGCTGTGGTGAGTGCGGGCGCAGCTACACACAGAGCTCCTACCTGCGCCATGCCCTTGCTGGCCAGCGCCCCCACACCTGCCCTGACTGTGGCCGTGCATTTGCTGACCGTGCCAATCTGCTGCGGCACCAGCGGGGCCACACAGGCACCCGACCGCCTGCCTGTGCTGAGTGTGGGCGGCGCTTTTCTCAGTTGGCACACCTGCGGGAGCACGGGCGCACACACAGCAGAGAGCAGCCGTTCTGCTGCAGCCAGTGTGGCCAGGCCTTTGGGCACCGCTCAGCACTGGCTGCGCACCAGCGCACACATAGTGGGGAGCGTCCCTATGCTTGCGCCCAGTGTGGGTGCCACTTTGCCCAGCTGGCCAGCCTGGTGGAGCATCGCCGGCGGCACACAGGCGAGAAACCTCATGAGTGCCCCCAGTGCAGATGCTGCTTCCGACACCGCTCGGCCCTGCTCCGCCACCAGCGTTCCCATGCTGGGGAGCAACCCTTCCGCTGTGGGGAGTGTGGGCGTGGCTACACCCGCAGCTCCAACCTCCTCCTGCATCAGCGGGTGCATGCTGCTGAGTGACATTCCCTCCCTGAGGACAGTCACAGGCATCCGATGACTCCCACACCCCTATGCTGGTCTGATCCAGTCCTGCCCAGAGGCCACTGCCCAGGAGTGTGGAAGCTGGGCCAGGTGACTCAGTTTGCTGAGTGTGAGTAAAATTGTTGCCAGTAGCCATAGCTTCTCCAGGCCCAAGTGGCAGACATGGAGCAGTGCTTCCTGCAGGATGAGGCTTAGGGAATGGGAACTGTATCAAGGCAGTGCCTGAGCCCCATGTTGCCTGGGCTGAGCCTGCAGCCAAGCCAAACCCCACTCTACAGCTGTGCAGGGGAGGGGCTGGGTGGAGGCACAGGTGGGGTGGGCTGCGGGTTGGTGGCATCTAATGAACTTTCTAAAATGTTTTGTCATGAAGTAAAAATAAACGTATGAAATGTCCGGTGTGCTGCAGTGGGTGGCGTGAGCTGCACCAAGTGCCGCAGTGGGGAATGCCTGCTGGGCACAAGAACCTGGGCCATGGTACCCAGGCTATCAGTGTGGGAGCCTTTGTTGCCACTACCGTGTATGCGAACGTGTGCAGTGTCGGCACCCTGGTCTGCGCCAGTCGATGTGAGAAGGGCCAGCTGTCCCCTAGAATCATAGAACTGGAAGAGACCTCAGGAGGTCATCAAGTCCAGCCCCCTGCTCTAGGCAGGACCAATCCCAACTAAATCAACCCGGCCATAGGTTTGAGAATATTAGGAGATTGTGGGTGCTTTGACTTGTTTGGCTTCATTATAGAACAGGTCTGCTAAAATACGCCTACTTTTTATTAGGTGGGAAAAAATAGCAGCCCTCTTTTGTACCCTTAGATCACTGGTTCTCAACCTTGCCACCTGAGCATAGTTTTTCCTAATATCCAACCTGGACCTCCCCCCCCACAACTTGAGCCCATTGCTCCTTGTTCTGCCATCTGTCACTACTGAGAACAGCCTCTCTCCATCCTCTTTGGAACCTCCCTTCAGGAAGTTGAAAGCTGCTCTCAAATCCCCCCTCACTCTTCGCTTCTGCAGACTAAACAGACCCAAGTCCCTCAGCCTCTCCTCATAAGTCATATGCTCTAGCCCCCTAATCATTTTGCTTGCCCTCCGCTGGACCCTCTCCAATGCGTCCACATCCTTTTTGTAATGGGGGGGCCCAGCACTGGACACAATAGTCCAGATATGGCCTCACCAAAGCCGAATAAAGGGGAATGATGGCAACTCTGGATCTGCTCGCAATGCTCCTCTTAATGCAACCTAATATGCCATTAGCCTTCTTGGCTACAAGGGCACACTGTTGACTCATATCCAGCTTCTCATCCACTGTAACCCCCAGGTCCTTTTCTGCAGAACTGCTACTTAGCTGGTAGGTCCCCAGCCTGTAACAATGCTTGGGATTCTTCCGTCCCAAGTGCCGGACTCTACACTTGTCCTTGTTGAACCTCATCAGATTTCTTGTGGCCCAATCCTCCAATTTGTCTAAGTCACTCTGGACCCTATCTCTGCCCTTAAGCGTATCTAACTCTCCCCCCAGCTTAGTGTCATCCGCAAACTTGCTAAGGGTGCAATCCATCCCCTCATCCAGATCATTAATAAAGATGTTGAACAAAACCGGTCCTAGAACCGAACCTTGGGGCACTCCGCTAGAAACCGACCGCCATCCTGACATCGAACCGTTGATCACTACCCGCTGGGCCCGGCCTTCTAGCCATCTTCCTCATCTCAGCAGGTGCAGTTGTTTGCTGTGTACTGCCCCAGAGGGCAGTTTGCTGTCCCAAAGCATCACCCCTTTGATCCCAGCTCTGGTCCCAATCTCACTCCCGCTGTGCTGACACACCAGCCACTGCGATGGAAACTGCTAGCAGGCTCTGTTTCTTCTGCCTGGAAATGTAAAGCTGCTCCAAACAGCCTCCAACAGGCCTGGGTACTTGGGGGCTGTGGACCCATACCCCCAGCTCAGCTTTAAGCCTTGTCGGCCTCTGGCACCTGTGGGGTGATCCAGGGCTGCAGCAGCATGGCCAGGCATCCAATGCTAAGGGGGCAGATACTGCCCGGTGTCAGCAACGTGGGCCAGCAACTAGCAGAGGGGAAGATGGTTCCAGGCCAGGGTCTGCGCCTGGAGTGGGTGGAGAGGGCTAGTGACTGAGTCTTGGCTTTGCTAGGAGCCCCAGCTCCTGCTCCCTAGGCCTGAACAGGCAGCAGGTGGAAAGCCACATGCCTGGTCACTGGCAGCAGTCACAGAGCAGCTGTGAACCCTTGAAGCATGACAGGTCTAGATTTAGTGTAAGCAGCTCTCAGCTGCCCACCTGCGGGGTTCCTGCTGCTGGGGGCGGGGGCAGGCTGGTGTCTGGGTAATGTGGCTCTTGGGGTGCAGAAACAGGGCTGGACCTCCGGGTAGGTCTGAGCTTTGCCATTGATCTACAAGGACCCTGCCCTTTCTCCTTGCTGCTACTAGACCAAGAGTAACTGCAGAAGCCGGAAGCTACATGCCAGCAACACTTCGGCCTGTAGCTCCCCGGGAACAGCTTGTGCTGACATGCACCTCTGAGCTGCAGCTGGTCCCAGGCCAGGGCTTCCTGCAATTAGAGCCACCCCAGGAGCAGCTCCCAGGACTTTGCTGGCAAGGACCCTGCCCTTTCTCCTTGCTGCTACTAGACCAAGAGTAACTGCAGAAGCCGGAAGCTACATGCCAGCAACACTTCGGCCTGTAGCTCCCCGGGAACAGCTTGTGCTGACATGCACCTCTGAGCTGCAGCTGGTCCCAGGCCAGGGCTTCCTGCAATTAGAGCCACCCCAGGAGCAGCTCCCAGGACTTTGCTGGGCAGTCAGCCGTAGGGCTCCCCCTGCCTGGGAGAAGCAGAGACACTTGCGCAGCTGCTGGACCCAGGCATCAGGGCCCATTGGCACTGCAGCCAGGTGGGCAGAAGGAAAGGGATGTCCCACACACCATGGCTGTGTCTAGACTGGTAAAACTTGCCAGCTGTCTACACTGGCCGCTTGAATTTCCGCAAGAACCCTGACTTCCCACTGTCTGAAATCAGTGCTTCTTGCGGAAATACTATGCTGCTCCCAGTCGGGCAAAAGTCCCTTTTGCGCAAAAGGGCCAGTGTAGACAGCTCAGATTTGTTTTGCGCAAAAAAGCCCCAATCGCGAAAATGGCCATCCGGGCTTTTTTGCGTAAAAGTACGACTAGATTGGCACGGATGCTTTTCCGCAAAAAGTGCTTTTGCAGAAAAGTGTCCTGCCAATCTAGACGCTCTTTTCCGCAAATGCTTTTAATAAAAAACTTTTCCGTTAAAAGCGTTTGTGGAAAATCATGCCAGTCTAGATGTAGCCCATGGATCTCTAGGGAGCTGACCCTGCACAGGGCAGGAGGCCATGAACGTGGCCTAGCGAGCACAGGCGCTAGGCCCCAGCGCAGCACAGCACAGGGTGGAGCTGGGAACACCTTTGACCTCCCCTGCACTGAACTGAAGGGCCAGCCCCAGTTTCCTCCCCTCTGGGGAAAGGAACAGCGCCTAGGACTGGTGGCACTGAGGGAACAAGCCAATCCCACAAGCTACCCAGAGCAGGGCAGCTGTGCTTCTCAGTTGGCCTGGCTGGAGGGCAGCCCCCCCACTCTCACACCTCCCTGGGAGCTGGCTGAGTGACAGTCAATCAGCCAGGGGAAGTTTTATTCTGGCAGCCACAAGCAGGTTTCTTTTAAATGAAAAATAAACAAAATCCCAGCGTCTAGCCCTTGCTAGGCCAGCTCCTACCCAACAGCAATAATTTAATAAACATAAGTAGCATCTTGCATTAATTTGCCCCCAGCCTGGCTGCAGTTGGGACGAGCAGGGGGATGGCGCTCCATGGCAGAGGGTTCCTGGAGGAGGTGCAGCAGCTCAGGTTGGGGGAACGGGGACGGCCCAGGATCTGGGGGGTCCCTGCCTGGTGAACTCAGGCTTTGCTGCCTGGGAATAGCAGTCTGGTTTACACATCAAGGGAACAAGGCTGTGGCCTAGAACACTCACCACTCCCTGATCGGCCCAGCCTTGGCCATGGATCCCCTGGCTCTCAGTAGAGACCAGGCAAGGGAAGAGGGCTGGGTGCCATCCCTGCCCCCACTAGCCTCTGTTGCGGGGGCAGGGTAGGTCTGGGACGAGGAAGCAGCTGCAGGAGAGAGGGTGAGGGACAGTCACAGGGAGGAGGGAAATGACACTGCTGCTTCACAGTGCACAGGGTGGGAGGGAGAGGCAGTAGCCCTCAGGCTGCGGGGCTCAGTGCAGTGTTCAGGCTGTCAGATAATCTAGGGGAAGAGAAACGGGTAGAAGGGCTTGGCGCCAGCTACCTCCCCCTCAGGCACCTCCTCTTGGGGGAGCTGAGCCAAGGCAGCCTGCAGGGAGCGCTGAGCTGCAGGGCCCTGGCTGCCAGCCTCATCCTCTGAGGCAGGCAGGAGGCAGGTGAAGGGAGCATAGGACTCCAGGGAGCAGCAAGTGTGGGTGTGTGTGGGGGGGGACCCCCACCTCCTACCAGCAGAGGCTGCTGCACTGGGCCCTGCAGTCAGTGAGGTAACACAGAGCCCTGGGGTGAGCAGCACAGCCTGTTGCAAGTAACTGTGGTCCCCAGAACTGCAGCAGGGTTGGCTTGGCTGGGCTCCAGCACTGGCTGTGCCCAGTGGCCCCCACTCCACGCTGAGGCAAGCCTGAGCCGGGTCCCACTGCATACTGGAAGATCTGGTCCCAGCAGAGCCGTTAGCCATTAACTGAGTAGCGCAGGATGGGCCCTGGGCCTGCAGGATCATTCTCTTCCAGGCCAGGAGAAGGTGGCTGGGCTCACTCCTTGGGTGGGGAGAGCTCCTGGGAGAGGCAGTTGCGATGCCGCAGACTCTTCTCATCCTGGAGGGAGAAGATACCGTGTGAGGGCCCAGACCCAGCCTTGAGGAAGGCGGGGGGCCAGCCAAGGGGGCCCCTCACCCCTAGTCTAATGCCCTCAAGGCCAGGAAGGACCCGTAGGCTCCGGGGTGAGTGTGAGCTCAGGCTAGAGCGCACACAACCCCTCAGCCCCGGAGTGAGACCCCGCTGGGGTCCAGGAGCACGGCCCTGAGGGCAGCCGCCCTCTCCCTTGCGAACCATGGCAGGACGTCAGCTTGTGTAGAGAGAGCTGGGTAAAGGACAATGCACATGCCCAGGGGAACCCACCTGCTCTCAAGCAACATCTCCTAGGCCACATCTGGGTCCAGACAAGTGGTGAGTGGGGCTGATCCCCCTACTCAAGAGGAGAAGGTTCATTTCCCACTCCCTCCCCATGGATCTGAACAATGCCACTCTGAGTATGAGAAGCCCAGGAACTGGCATAGGGCGTGAGAGCTGAAACCCCTCCCCCAGTGTGGAGAGCAACCCTGGGAGGTCCCATGCCTGCGCAGAATAGGGGATCATGGTGCCAGCAGGGGCAGGGGAATCCTGATCCACCCTTACTCTCTGGGGCACCAGCCACAGCATGAGACGAGTGCCCCTCATAGCTGCTAGATCAGGGGCACAGATGGAGCTCCACCTGGGCCAGCCCCCCCAGCTGGAGAAGGCAAGGGGCAGTGAGAGCCTCAGGAGAGACAGCTGGACCCAGCACCCCCCAGGCTCAGGAGCCAGAGCTTAGTCTCAATACCTCAGTGTGGGTCCACTCAGCTGGCACTAGCAGCTCCTCTTCTCCCCGTGCGGGATCCAGCCCTTCCTCCTCATACTCCGTCAGGTAGTCAGACTCCTCACCTGGGACGGGAGCAAACACGGGGCTGGCAGCTGCTTCTGGCCTGGCCCCTCTCAAACCCAGCCCACAGCTCCCAAGCTATATCCAAGCCCTAGTCCTCCCACCCCCAGCCTCGCACACCTCTCCCCCTTGCTCCCACTCACCGTCAGCGTAGCCATCAGACAGGTAGTTCTTGGTTGGCTCGATGCGAGACACAATCTCAGCCAGATCAGTGAACCCCGCACTGGGGCAAGTCAGTACCTGGGGACAAGAACCAGGCTTGCGATTCCCTGGCCAGGCAGCCCTTGGCTCTGGGACACAAGGAGGAAGTGCTATGTGTGCTGAGCTGGAGAGTGGGTGGCTGGGATGCCTCTGGGAGGTGAGCACACGGAGTGGGGGGCAGAGGCAAGTCAATTCCTGGGTCAGGCTCCCACCCCATGGAGCAGAGCCCTGCTGGAACTGGGGTCTGCACTGACAAGGGAGGGCACTTCCCTGCCAAGCCCCCGGCGCCCCCTTGGAGTCCCCAGCCCTACCTCTTGGGGCACCAGGGCTGAGATGGCTGCTGTGCCAGGCACTGTAAAAACATCAGCCTGGCACAAAAGTGGCTGGAGCATGACAAAGCTACACACTGCAACTGCCCATCCCCCAGCCCGTGCCCGTAGCTCACATCCATGCGCTTGCTCTCGTAGAAGTCAGCTGAGCGCCGGTCCTTCACCATCTTCTCAATGATGTCGCCGCGGCTCCAGCCACTGAACACCACTTTGCCATGCTGGTAGCCCACATCCTGCAGGAGAGGATGGGCAGGGTGAAGGGCCACTCGGGGGACCCAGCCAGCTATGGAGAGGGCTGGCCAGGCCAGACTACGCCCGCTGCAGAGCAACGTGAGACAGTCATTTGTCCTGGACACTCCGATGCAGCAGGGGGTCTGCAGCCCCACAAGGGTGGCCATCAGATTTCCAATCCAACCCCCCCCAAGCACAGCGTCTCCCTCCCCCTCCCAGGCAGAGCCCTCAGCCCACATTAGAGCCTCGCATCCTCTCCACTCCGGCCTAGCACAGCCCCCAGCCCACACTGCAGCTTCCCATCCTCCGCATTGCCAGCTGAGCAGACACCCCCCCAGACTGGGGCCTCCCACCTTTCCTGCCCTCGGCTATGCACCAGCCCCACCCAGATGGGGTCCTGCACCCTTCCCCATCCTACCCCACAGCCCAGGCTGACTGGACTCACATAGATCTCATCGAACTTGCCGAAGTCCATGGTTTTGAAGCGGTCAATGGGCGGACGAATGTACTCACAGTAGGAGCTCGACTTTACCACCTCCAGCTGGCGCACACATGACACATAGGCCAAGCGTGACTGGATCTCTGCCATGTCAGGCACCTGTAGTTAAAGAATGGAAGGGGGGACATAGCAGCCTGGGCAGGTGGCTGCAGGAGTAAGTCCCTCCTGTTCCCTGCAGGTCTGAATTCACCTCATCCCCTCCACCCCCTTCCCACCAGCTGAGGCAAGCTGGAGTCCAGCAGCTGCTACTGGGGCATCAGAAGTGGCTGTGCTCAGCTGACAGCCTGAAGGAAGGCACCTGGCTGCCAAGGCAGGCCCACATGTTTACCTGGGGCTTGTGCTCCTGGCACAACAGGGTCTGTGACAGAAGGGATCCTGCCAGCACCTGCAGTTGTTGCTCCCCTCCTCCCCCCAAGCACAGCGTCTCCCTCCCCCACCCGGGCAGAGCCCTCAGCCCACATTAGAGCCTCGCATCCTCTCCACCCCTGGCCTAGCACAGCCCCCAGCCCACACTGCAGCTTCCCATCCTCCGCATTGCCAGCTGAGCACAGACTCCCCCCTGCAGATTGGGGCCTCCCACCCTTCCTGCCCTTGGCCTCCCAGATGGGAAGGGTTTGTGCATGGGAGGGGGAAAGGAGGTGAACAGGCCCAGCCCTAGGGGGGAGGCAACTTGCTACCCTCCATGTGTCCCTCAGCCTATAACACAGGACGGGTGGCCCAGGTGCCCGGGATGGGGTGTCTGGAGGCATCAGGAAATGGGGCAGGTCCCCCCTTGGAGGGGGTTCTTGAGCAGGGAGGCCCCCAGGGTAGGGCTCACCTTGACCTTCTGGGCCCAGGGATTGAGGCGTTTCCAAAGTAGCCACCAGCCAGAAAGGCTGTCACCATAGTTGCAGAGGTCAGTCTCGTCTTGGCTGCCCACATCAATGGCGACCACCGTCTTGGCACCCATGTTCCGGGCAATATCCGCTGGTGTCAGAGAGCACGTGTCAGGGGTGGCAGCCTGGCAGCCCCATGCAGACAGTGGCATTGCCTGTTGCCATTAGGGCAGTCCCAAGGCTGAGGGCAGCAGGGAAGCAGGGCAAAACCTGTCACAAGCAGGAGGTGGGGAGCAAAGCTAGGTTTGCAGCAACAGTTTTTCTGCCCTCATTCCCAATTGCACACGAGGCGTGCACAGGACGAGTGGGCGGGACAAATGGGGGTGGCTCTGCAGCACCAGGGACACCTTCCCACTAATACTGCCCAGCTTGCCAGGTGGGTCGCTTCCCAGTGCACAGTCCATCATGGTCAAATCTTTCTCATCCCCCTTCTGACAGCGTGAAAGGCTGGTCCAGCTCATCCAGCCTCCCCTTGCTGGCTCGGCCTCACCTGGGAGCTCCCCACCATGGCACATTCAGAGGGTGCTAGGAATCAGCAACTCATCCCATGCAAGGATCCCTGGCCAGACAGGCTGTAGCAAGATTGCCCCCTGCTGAGCTCTGGCAGGGACGTCTCATGGCAGCGCTGGGG